ATTATTCCGTTATTATTTATAATCCAAAGATAATGCACGTTATCATCGTCGTATATTTTATAATTCGGCGAACGAATTTTGGCCGAGATTCATATTAATCTCACTCATATGATTCACATTCTTCTTTATCGTTCATTCTTTCAACATACTTTCATACTTTTTCACAAAATAAACAATAAAAATAAAATACAAATTAAAAAACACTATCTTTATTATAATTAACGCACGAGAATACAATTTTTAAATGCATCCCAATCCACTTGGTATCATCAAATTCATTCCCACGTTTCAAATCGCTTTTATCTTTTTCTCATCTTTTTATTTTATTTTCATTAATTTTATTTTATTTTAACTTATCTTTATACCTTTTGTATTATTTTTTTTTCTTCTTCTTAAATTTATCTCGAAAAAACGTGACGTTTATTAACGTTACACTCTTTCTCTCCTTTCCCCCGTTTGTTTTTTCTTTCTTAAATCTTTTTTTTTTTATCTTCTTCTTTATTTCTTTATCTTTATCTCAGTTATTTTTTTTTTTTAATTTTTTTTTTTAATTTTTTATTTCGAAGCACAAACAAAACTTCATTTGTTCCCTTTTTGTACAAGACGACGCTCGTTAAGATTAATAACACGACGTATACACTTTTTAAAGTACTGCAAACGATTTTCTATTTCTCTCACTCTCTCTCTCTCTCTCTCTCTCTCTCTCTTTTTCTCTCCCATTGGGTACTCTTTTTATATTTCTTTTTTTATTTTACAGAGAAAAAAAAACATCCATCTAACCAACTCCACCTTTTTATTTTCATCATTCATTTATTTTATTAATTTATTTATTTAATTTTCTTCATCATATACAACATTTTTTATCTCTCTCTCTCTCTCTCTCTCTCTTTCTCACATTCTCTCATACGAACCTTTGATTTTTATTCAATGAAATAAAATAATTATAAAAAATTAGTATACAAAAAATTTCTAATCAAGTGAAACAAATTTTTGTTGTTTCATTTTCAATTATGGGAAAATGAAATTGTCGTAATTCGTGTCCTTGTAAAATTTAATCACACATACATACATACACACACATACAGTTTGGTGCATCATCGTTGTTATTATTAAAATTCTGTATTTTATTTTATTTTATTTTTTATACACAGAGAAAGATAAGAGATAAGAATGCGAAAATGAAAAATAAAATTAATTAATAGTAGGATTAAGGATGCATTAGGGGCGGGAGGGGGTTGAAAGAGAATATTGCTTCGGAAATCATTTGAAGGACGACAAAGGATTATGAAAAAAAAAAAAATAAGGATATCGTTCTTCTGAAATTGCATTACAAACAAATAAAATGAGATCACGAGGATAAATTCGAACGAACGCGAGGTGTACGGTTACGTGTTCCTCTTTACTTGTGTCTCTCTGTGTGTGTGTGTGTGTTATGTGTTTGAGTGTATGGTGAATATTGTGTTTCTTTCTGTATAAAATAAAAAAATATATTTAATTTCAATGGAAAATATTGAAAAATAAAATAACAAAAATTGTTCCTTCTCTCAGTTCCATGTCTTGAATTTGATTTCAAATGACATATTATTAATTAAATTTATTTATTAATTATTTCACATATTAATTAATTCCAAGAACTTGCAATACTTGTAATAAATAACACGCAAATAATTATTTAAATTTTATTCAATTAAATGTAATGTTTTTTTTAACAAATTTAACTGCACGTTTGTTTGTAAAATCTTCGAAAGAAAATAAGAAAATCAAAAATAAAAGAGAAAGTAAAATTTTTGAATAATTCAATAATTCATTATAACATTTGAATAATTTAAAAAAAAATAAAAATAATAATTGCATTCAAATAATTGAAGAACAAAAATTATTCAAATACAAAATAGAATTTAATTGAATAATTATTTGGAATAATAATCAATTAATTATAAATCAATTTAAAATTGCATTCAATTAAAATTAAAATCTTATCATTAAATAAAAAAAAAAGAAATATGAACAATCGTTTATTCTAATCATTTACTGTACACTTAAATAACAATTTAATTCTTACATATGTTTGTAGTGGGGTGGGGGGTAAGAAGAGAAGGAGGAGGAGATGGATGAGTGGGGTGCTTTCTTTCAATTTTTCGATCGATAAAAGCTAAAATGAACAAAATTCACGTACATCGTACAACATTTATGTGTGTATGTATATCTGTGTATGTGTGTGTGTTGTTTTATCTTAAAGGTAATGAATTTTTTAATAATAATCTTCTTATATTCCATTTTTTGTTTGTTTGTTTGTTTGTTTGCGTTCGTTCACAGTTGGTAGAAAAATATAAACACATTGGCGCCAAAATTATTATTTTTAAGTAAAAACAAAAAATAACAAAATGGACGATTATAAATGCGACGAGAATAAAAAAAAAAAAACCTTAGAAGCTAAAAGTGACTGCGACTTAATGTGCAAATAATGCACAAAATGTACATATGCAAATTTTCTTTTTCTCCCTCTCTCACACATGAACGCATCATACATCGAATGAAACGCACTGATTACGCACACTCTCTCACACACGCACGAAAAGATATTACATACCTAACCTCATTTTTTTGTTTAATAATCTTTATATTTTTCATCATAATCATCGTTATCATCATTATAATTATCATCATCATCGTCATTAGCATTTTCGCAATTTTTTGTTTGTTAATATTCTTCATTCCTTTTGTTTAATCATGGTTTGTTTTTAATACCCCGTTCCATTATTATATAATACACTCTTAAAGCGCGTGTTTTCTATTATTTTTTAATTAATTAATTAATTAATCATTTTTTATTTATATTTATATTTATATTTATATTTATATTTATATATATATTTATATATTTATATTTATTTATTTATAAATCGTATTTATATTTATTTAACCCCGTAATTTTTTTTTTGTTAAAATTGTCTCGGATTGAAATCATCAAAATCAATTGAATACATTTCCTACGATTTCTCCAAATTTACAATAATAATAATAATAAAAACAAAATTATTGGGGCAGTAAAAGGATCCTTCGTGCATGTGTGTGTGTGTGTGTGTATATTTTTTTTAATGACCGTTGGATCACATTTTTCGAGATAATACGCATTAGACGAAAGAACACATCGAGTTTTTATTTTTATTTATTTAATCTTTTATTTATATATATATATGTATATGTATCATGTATATGTATACGTGTTATATTTTTTAAGTACCTTATCAATGCTTAAAAATCTAATATTTACAGGCTCCTACTTATCCATGTGTATACTCGTGTATATATGTGTGTATGTGTAAGTGTGTATAGGTACGTAAATTTATTATAGTAAACGAAGGATCCTACTAAATCGTGAGAAAACGTGCGTGTTATCTTATCAAATCGAATATAGAATTTCAAATCTTAAAAATTCATTAATGAATGATTCATTAATAAAACAAAAAAAAAAGTTTAATGAATATTAAGCAGTTAACTGTGATTGACGAGTATACTCGTCATTACTAGATTAACACGTTGAGCGCCATGCGAATTTTTACGGAAATCTTTGTCAGGTCACAAGTGGCAAAACGAAAGGTGTACGTCAGTCACCGGTGCTTGACACGGCCCGAAGTGAGATTCAGTGTCAGTCACTGGTGCTTGACACGGCCTGAACGTAAAGTTCAGTGTCAGTCACTTATGACTGACGTGGCACTCAATGTGTTAAGGTGACACAAAACAAGTGCGCGATCTCAAATGACGTCACAGTTAACTGATTATTTAATATATACACACATATACATATATAAAAAACAAACATATATGTTTTTGAGATAGAATAAAAAGTAAACAAAAAAAAAATAAAGCTCCCATTTGTCGGAGCATTCGATGTTATTTTAAAATACTTTTTCTAATATTCGATTAAATAGAAAAAATGCATCGTTAAATATTGATCGATTTCAATCCGAGTGCGAGGTGTATTTTTATTTAATTGTTGTTGTTATTTACGGGCCGGCATTAATTAGTTTTTCTCAACAAACTTCCCCTCCTTCTGTTTATCCTTTCGAACTTTTTTTTCACGTTCGTTTATAAACGGTATACATATACATATACTTTTATACACATATATATATATGTATAAAGTAACTATCGCCTAAGGATACTAATCACGTCACATCGATAAATATAACATTTTTTTGTTTGTTTGTTGTTTTGTTTGTTTCGAACGTACAGCAGACAGAGAGGATCACAATCGTTCGTTCACGATATATATATATATATAAAAGTATAAAATACTTGCCAAATTTTGCGAAGTTGGCCATTCGTCGGTAGTCGACGCTACCATATTTTTATTATACACATTTGTTCATTTATTTATTTATAATAATTCATTTTCTTTAATTCTCTCGTGCTTGGAAAATGAGAGACATTTTGTTAGGTTTGTTTTTGTTTGATCAACCAACTCAAATGCACGAACGGGTTTTTTCAGGAAAAAAAAATATATAAAAAAACACACATACACATACTCCCAATACTGCAGCAATAATATTAATAATAATAGTATAATTATAATAATTAATAATAATTAATAATAATAAACAATAAAACAAAATAATAATAATAAAAACAAATTGTAAAGAAAATAAGAAAGAAATTGTTATCCAAAGTCCCCGATGCCAAAAAACAAACATTTGCAAAAATTTTGAACAAATGCAACAAAGATAAATTATCCAATTTTATTAACATAATCAAAAAAAAAAAAATATCCCGGGGACTCAGGAAAACTTTATTAACATGAATTCCTAAGAAGAATGGCACGTAAAAATTGTCAAAGATAGATAGATAGATAAAGAGAGAGATTATTCTTTTCCTTTTTTAAAATAATTTTTTGTTTGAACTTAAATAGAGAGAGAGAGAGAGAGAGAGAGAGAGAGAGAGAGAGATTGCAAGGTCATTTGATGATCTCACAAAGTTTTCTCATTAAAGTGACCTCGACTACCGACGATATTTGAGAAATGCAATAAACGCAAGAGATCCTTCCGTTCCTACCTATCATCGTATTTTATTTCTTATTTATATTAATTAAATTAATAAGAATTAATTAATTAATTAATTAATTAATAATCCGAGATTCTCGTAGATACTTTTTTTCGTTCATTTTATTTGAATATTTTCTTGATTTCTTGTTCTTGGTTTTAGTTTGTTTGAAGTATGGCCTCTTTGTGGCATCATCATCGTCAGCCTTCGCACACACGCTACTTAAATATAATACACTAATAAACGTTCCGCCGTCCTTGATAAGAAAAAATCCAACTGATTGGAATTTTCATTTAAATAGGACGGATTTTCGTTCAAGGGGACGACGAGGAGGATCGGCCTCACAATTGTTCCGACAAAATGATCACCGTTAACGTTTGAACGTTGTCATTGTGATAAAGTTTATTGTTGGTAGTATTGTTGTATGGGACCCTACTACCTTCTTCTAGATTCTCATTGGTCGTATTTTCGCAACCCTCAGCTTCGGCCCTTTCACCTCTTGGTACTACGTCGTCGTTATCATCGTCGTTGTCATTTTTGTCATCGTCATTAACCTTAATATCATTTTTTAACAATTCTGTATTAGTTGTTTTCCTATCATCGTTATTGATCTCCTTATCACATGGAGAATCCATTTGAACGATCTCGTTGTCAGTTTCGTTTCTCAAATTGGAAGAAAAGTTAGGTGAATCCTTGTAGGGTGGGTATCTGTCTCTGGATGATAGGCCAAGTGACGATTCGATAGGAATGAACGTTTCATTAGACGAAGAAAATCGTATTGATCTTTCATTTGGTAAACCAGAATCCCCATCAGCACGACGCGTTATGTTAGCAGTTGGTGACATTCTCGAGGTGGTGGTGGTAGAGTTGGTAGTTGTGGTGATGCTCGTTGTACCTGGACTAGGACTTTTAGTTGGACGTAAAAGGGACGGTGAAGGGTTTGAGAATCTCGTTGAAGAATCGTAATTGATCGTTGGTGAACGTACGAGTGCAACTACGTCAGGTGGTTTGATCATGGTCATTTCTTGTACGTTGTAAGGTGTTCGTAAAAGTTCATCGGAACTACGACGATTATTTTCTGGTAATTCCGGTAGAGCTTCTAATAAACCAGAACGATCGATACGACGTGGTAGTGTACCAGCATGACCAGCTATACTACTCTCGGCACCTATTGGTCTGCAATGTCGAAAACGAGACGAGGATGATGATGATGATGATGATGATGACGATGATGGATGATCTATACTAGATATTTCTAACAATCCTGATCTGTCAACTCGTCTCATAGTATTTCCATCGTTGAAATCTTCGATTGTACAACTCATAGGACGAGGACTTCTCTGGGTTAGATAATATTCTTGTTCGGGTATGTTCACTGATGATTGGTTACCGTAAATTATTGGGTTGCAACGTGACGAACGATGATAAACGTGTACTGCATTCGTTCCCGTCGTAGTTGTCGTTGTCGTCGTTGTTATCGTTGCATCTAAAGATGTTACAGTTGGTGTTGTTACTGTTGACGTTGCTGTCGTCGTCGTTGTTGCTATTGTTCCTGTCTCGGACATTGCCGACACCGCTGCCGCAGCTGCTGCAGCTGCAGCCACAGTCACGTGGCCAGTTGCAGCATTAGTTGTCACCGATTGACTTTCCGAAGGATTCTCGATGACTATTTCCATACGATGGCGATGTTGATGTTGTCTGTACTGCGCCAATGGTTGCCGATGGGGGGCCTGCTGCTATAGCCAAGTAGTACGCGTGTTTCCGGCTCGCGAGCCGGTAGGCAGGTCTCAGACGATTATTTCTCGGATAATTCTACGTCCACGGCTGTTAGGAGTCGAATAACCGGATTCTAAACTCTCGTCGTAGGACAAGCTAACTTGTTGAGGTGGTTTTGTATCCTCGTCGTAATTTTCTTGATAAGGTAATCCAGAAACGTCGTATGGTGAATCTGAAAAATTATTGACAAGATAAAAACTTTTGCTTCATTTGACTTTGAAACTGTGTTAGATTGTAATTAGATGAAAAAGAGGAAATAGTTCCAAGTCAAATAATTGAGAAGGAAGAATTTTCACTAGTTAGAAATTAGAATACCAACCAACGTGTTTCTGGGACTTGACAACCGTAGCAAATGGCTCGGGACAGAATTGTTGTCGACTAAGATTATGGCTTTCCCTGTAATGTGGGTGCGCTGGATAATCGGACTCGGTGGTGGCGTATCCACCCAAATCATATGGTTGGTTGACGCCGTTTGCTGCCGCCGACTTCATCTGCCAGATAGAATCTTGAGAATTCACCGAACCCCCGTTGTTTGAATTTGAATAGCTATTGTCCATGTAACCCATATTGACACCTGGAGTACAGAATACCCTTTATTAGAAATTTCTCATTTCACGAAAATGAATTCGTTTAGGATAAAGAGAGACAATTATTGTAATACGTGTACCATGTTAGTTCAAACAAATGAAAACTTAAAAGTAAAGTTAGACATATTTTAACATTTACCATTCTCACCGTTGATGTTATGATTAGGTTGATGATAACCATATCCAGGTTGAGCATAAGCAGGACTCTTGGAATCCTCCATAGCAAGTGCATGATCCAAACTATGTTCGAGTGCTTTATTCTCTGCGTAATAAGGCGGTGGTGCTTGAGTTTGTTGACCATTTCCGGCGACTAGGCTTGGTCGAACACTGGAGAAAAATGAACGGACATTTTTCAATACTCCGTCATGGCTATTATCAAAAATTCATTTGTTCAAATCTAACGTAATAACAAAAGCTTTGCACTAATGTGTATTATTATTCAAATATATGCGTACAAGTGTCTAATGCAAATGTAACATGATAATACTGCGATAATACAATACTTACGCATTGGTATCCATTTCATAATCCTTGGCCTTGGCAGCGTGCTTTCGTCTGCATCGGCAGAACAAAAGTAAGAGAGCGGCGAAAAGCAAGAAGACTGCACCGCTAACTACCAGAGCGATCAACGTTGGCGTTGCTAGTGCACCAGCTTGCGCTATATAAGATGGGCCGACTGTTTAACAGAAAGATTTGCTAAACTAAATATCAAAAGCTATTGTACAAGATTTCCAAACCAACAACAAAACTACAAAATCAACAGGGTTTTGATAACCTGACAAAGACACTCACTTTCAGCTTCGGTATATTCCCCACACTTTTGACGATCAGCCTTGAGACATAATCTGACTTTGATATGAGGTTCAGTATCGGAAGATTCAGGATCATCCAAGATACCCTCTCTTTGAGTAGGTGCACTTCCCAATACTTCCAATGGCCATTCTTCTATGATTCTCGATGGATTATCCGTACCATCGAATTTTTCGATAGAAGCTACCAATGCCAGACAAGTAGCTCCAACGTTTATCGCTAAAGTTCCAGTTTCAGGATCATAGCTGACACGTAAAGGTGCTGGTATTTTTGCCACAGAAGTAGTTGCAACTACCTCGTCGGAGTAATCCGAATGATTTTTCGTATTGTAGACTTTAACTTTGAAAGTATAGGTTTGGTGTTGCTCGAGATTGCTAACGTTGCAAGGATTCGATCTCCTGCAATCCATTTCCAACCATTGTCCGGCTGGTCCTCTCGGTGGTGCGCAATCAGGTGCTATCACTTCGTCACCTCCGGCAACTCTTCGATAAGAAACGAAGTATTTGGTGATTGGTAGACCACCGTCGAAACCCAATTCCCAAAGTAATGCCACATGTGTCGGGCCAATGTCCATGGCTGTTATGTTGGTCGGCCTTTCCGGTGCACCTTTTGGTTGTAATCTTATCGTCGAAGAAATGCTACCTTGTGCGTTAGCAGCGCGACACGTGTAATCCCCATAATCAGATTGTTTTATATTCGTCACTCTTAACAGAGAAGTATAAACGTCATAATTGTCGGTGGTTGATGATATTTCATAATGGCCGTCGCTCGATGAACCTTGCAAGGTAGCAGCATTGTTACCAAAACTCCATTGGAATTCTGGTTTAGGCCAGGCTTGAACTTTACACGCGACTTCAGCTACCTCTCGTAAATTGTACGCCACTTTGCCGTGCTGATGTAAAATAATTGGCTCGTGTTCGACCTTTAACATCATCGTCGATTCAACCTTTTTAACTTCGTTTACGAATACACAGGTGTACCTTCCTCTGTCGCTCGCTATGATCTCATCGGTCTTCGGACGTGCATGACCCAAAAAGCTCAACGTCGAGTTCACGGTTATCACATTACCATGACCTTCTGAGGCAGTGGTTATCACTTTGTACAATCTCTCGTCGGCTGTTAATTCTTGATCGTCCTTCAACCAACGCACGCTAGGCCTTGGCTTTCCCTGTGCCACGCACGATACTTGAAACGATGATTCTCCGACTCTGCGAATTCAATCGAACAATAGAAACGTATTATTAAAAAACAAACCCCCATAGATAGACAAAAAGATTATATGAAAAATGTTGCGGTTTGAAATACTTTCAAAGCAAGTCCAATCATTTTTTATCTGCTTCGAAAATAAATTATCTCGATAATTGCTAACAATTTATCTCTTTGAAGATTGAAAATTACACACAAAGAAATTCGTGAGAGAAGAAATATAATAATACGTACTTTCTCGTGACGTGAGGTTGTAATTTGGTAAGTATCTTCGGTGGTTGATGAACTGTGAGATTAACTGAGGCAGCTTCACCGTTTCCAATTTCGTTCATGGCGTAACATTTGTAAGTACCTTCGCTACCCAAATGTATGGAATCTATTTCATACTTAGGCCCAGAATTTTCTGTTCTAACAGGAATATTTTCACCGTCTCCTTCTTTCCACCATTTGTATTGGGGTTCAGGATAACCAGCAGGACTTGCCATACATGTTAGAATAACACGTGAACCTTCAACGGCAACCGGTGAGTCTGGAGTAACCCTAGCAGGTCCAGGTTTGTGTCGAATTCTAACAGTGACATGAGCTTTAGCTGAATGATTCCTTCGTTCACCGCCAGTCGGATGAATGGTATTAACTGCACGACAAGTATAATTTCCAGCGTGATCGGCCGTGACTCTAGTCAATCTCAATATCGAACCGGATTGTCTGAATTCTGGACGACCTTCACGAAGCCACTCGACTATGGACGGAGCTGGATTGGCTGATACGTTGCAGTGTACCGTCACGGTGTCTTCCACTTGAGCGATTCTAACGCTCTCACCTTCGATAGACACGGTAGGTGGATAAAGAACATCCAACAGCAATGAATTCTCGTCTTTTTTTCCTAGACCGTTGTCAGCTTGGCAAGTATACTTGCCTGCATCTTGCAACGTTACCTTTTGTATAACATGTTGAAAGGTAGTTGCTATGAAACTACCATCCCGCCACCAACGTACCATACCGACAACTGGTTTCGAATCAACATGACACTCTAATGTCGCCGTACCATTAACTTCAACTTTCAATGGGTTTCCAGGACCAACCGTAACCCGTGGAAAATAATTAACATCCAATGTTACAGTTGCGTTCAATGTTTCACCTTCTCTCATCGCACGATTTCTAACAACGCATCTAAAAATCGCACGATCGTCTTCTTTCGTTGGTTCCACCAATAAGGTCCTACCGGAGTGAAGTAGAGTAGTATTGTTACCACGGTACCATCTTACTTCTGGTTCAGGACTACCACCGTTGGTGTTGCATTGTAATTCCAATCGTTGTCCTTCGGTTGCCGGGGCTGACGTTGGTGATATCGTAGGTGGTCCAGGTGCTCTCAATACGGTCAATGTAATATACTTCCTATGTATATCCATACCAGTACTACTAACTTTAACACGACACTCGTATTTACCATTGTCCCTTTCATACGAAACATTTCGTATTTGTAAATCGTAACGACCCTCTTCCAAACTCATGAACACCTTGTAATTAGGTGATAACGAACGATTTTCTATTGCTGCGTTATCATGATTGTTATTGGTATGAGTCAACCAAAAACACGTGACATTTTCTTTAGGTGGTTCGAATCGACACTGCAATTGTACCGTTGAACCCTCATGCGTGTCCATCTGCGTTTCCTCAACTCTGCCATGGGTTAGAGCTGAAACATCGATAAATCGTAGCACTTTAGTTCGTTAATAATCGTTTGTTTAGAAAATCGATTTAATCAAAGGCTCAGGTGACAATTTAATGGCCAAGTTAGATCGAAAAGGGACGACTACGACGACTACGACGATTTTACGGGATACCCGGGTTACCGACACCGAAGTAAATCAGGCCGCGTGTGTGCGTTCTCTGCATCGAAGGGAGTCATCGGCTCGCTAAACTCTCTGCGAAGTCGTGCGACGCAACCCATGCCCGATCGATAAACACTCTCTCTCTCTTTCTCTTCTCTTCTTTCTATTCCATAAAATAAACTATATCTAATACTTTTGTCACGACATTTTATCGATCCCCTTTCGATCTTCTCTACATACATTCTTATATATATATCACTTTTCATTTTTATAATTAAGTTCATTGATAGTTCGTTCATCCCTTATAAAAATATTTAAAAATTGGTGTTCCTGTTAATCATATATGGTATTTAAATCATTCCCATTCAAACTATTATAATTGGGATTAGGAATTGGAAAGTTCATTGCAGCAAATCCCGCCAGTGTTCCCGTCCCTGAGCTTGACCCCGTCCATTCGCGGTCTTCGTAGCCCATTTCTTTAAGATCCCCAAATAATATTGTCCTCCCATCTATGACTCGGTTTTCCCAGTAATCTTTCCCATTCGGTATACCGATCAGTATTTTATGCACCACCCCAATAAGCGACACGTGACCTGCCCATCTTAATCGGCGTGATTTTACAACGTTAATGATGTCCAGTTTGAACTGGATATTTTAAAGCACATTCTGAACTTTATCGTTGACTGTTTAATATTTTATTCTTGAAAGTACAAAATTGTATAAGTTTTGCAATTAAAATATTTTTCAATGAGGTGTTCATCGATACTGTGATGAAACACAGTAATATTGGATTTGAATAAACGTTTGTAGATGTAAATTACGATAGTAGGGAAACTATCAACGATCGAATGAGGAGACAGCAGGGTTCAATGAAATTGGTGGGACAGATTAAAGGAATGAAATGGATTGTTGGATTAAAACATTAGATGGGGGATTAGGATCTTGATAGCACTACGAGTACCGTTCGATAGTTCAGAACCACAAGACTTCTGGTGTATCTGCGAATGTGCTTCGTCATTGGGTCGCCTAACGGTAAAATCACCGGTTTGACTCTTTAACGATATCGGAGGAGACCTCTTCTTTCCTCTCCTCACCTTTCCTTTCCTCTCATCTTTCTCTCGAACGTTCATTTTACAACCGAGCAACTGCGGTATAGTCGGATTCTCTTTCTTCTTCTTCTTTTCTTCCACTTCTACTCTTTCAAACATTCTCAAACACACATACACACATGTACACATACATATACACCTCTCACAGGTTTTATGTCCCCACTATCATCCTTTTTTTTTATTCCTCATCCTTTTTTCCAACATATTTATCTGATCCATCGGTTTAACGCGATTTACCTTACCCGCGAGTAAAATTTTCATCCGTTTTAATAGAAAAAAATATCATCGAAATATAACATGGTGAAGTAAAAAAGAATTTTTTCGATGAAAATTCATTCAGTACGATATGAGAAAAGGTGGTGGGTGGGTGGGTGGTTTATCTTTAGATTGATTGGAATATTGATCCATATGGTTGGTAATATTATCACAGGTGGTTTCTCTAAGTATTTTACGAGTAAGTGGGAATATCATGCAATACGTCGTCTCATTTAATTTTTCATTTTCTTTTTTCAAAAAATAGAATTGATTTTAGATATTAATGAGCTGTTTCTTTTTTTCTTATCAAGACTGTTAAACGAATTGTATTTAAGATTTTTTATTAAGATGATCGAACGGATATTAAATTAAAAGAATTATTATTAATTAATAACATATAATATATATTTTTATTAATTTATATTATTATATCATTAATAATTTATTATAATTTATTATTATATATTATTATGTTATATTAAATTATTAAATTATATTATTAATTCATTAGTATATATTAATATGTTACTATTACTTATTTATATTACTATACTACTATATATGTAATAATATATATTATTAATTTATTAATTTATTAATATATAATATTGTGTGTGTTATATTAACACTATGACGTCCGGTGGCTCTACGTTGGTGACATAATTTTATTTTTCAATAAATGATAGTCTTTCATCACATACTTTTCAGAAGAGAAAAACTTTAGTTAGTTTTTGAGGTGTTGAACACGACAACGTTCTAAGGTAACATTTTACATGGTAGAAGTTGAAAATTTCGTATTCCTAAGACGCCTATGCTTCTTACTTCGTTTCGTTTGGAACGAACTAGCTGTATTTACAGTGTCTGTGTACCAGAAACCCCTCAGCCACGAATATTTTGAATAATCCACATTGACTCTTTTTACTTCTTCAAATTTTTATTCATTTTTTTACTTCTTTACTTTATTTTTCAGATATTTTTATAAGAATACATATATATCTTTCTTAAATTTAGTCAAACGAGTTTTCATTCATAAAAAATATAATACAAAAATAAAAAAAAAGGTTGTGTCAAATTATTCTTAGGAATGTAATTTTTTTTTTTTTTCTTTTTTTCTTCTGATTAGTTCATTTATAAAACATTCACTTTAACTTCTTGCATTTATAATGAAGAAGATAAAAATATGTAAAAAAAAAAAAAATAGAAAAAGATTTTATAAATCGATAGTTTGTGTTGAGGGGTTATAGTTATAGTAAAACTATAGTGATGTGTTCTTCAAGATTAGATTCGTTCGTAGAGGAATAGAAAGCGCCTACGAAATGACGGACGTCCGTCCTCGATTTTCCACGTTCCACGTGAATAAAAAAAAAAAAGAAAAAAAATTGACAGAGAGAGAGAGAGAGAGAGAGAGAGAGAGAGAGAGAGAAAGGTATATTATAAACTATACACGTACACATGGAGATAAAAATTGGATGCGACTGCGTACAACATGTTGGTTGACATTCCTCAGCACACGCAGTAGAAAATGACATGAACAGTGGACCGAAAGTACAACAACAACAAAAAATGGTAAAAAAAATACTTTTTAACCAATATACGTAAAGGAAAATCTTAAAAAACAATTAAACAAATAAATAAGTATATTTACAAAAAAAAAAAGAAAATAAATGAGAAGTAGAAAAATTCTTTAAAATGTTTCCATAAGATTTTTATAATTTATTTTATAATTGTGGAACAAAATTTGATCAAACTTATTAACAAATTTGTTATAAATATTAAGTATAATGTATTAAATTATATTATTTAATCTATATTATTATTATTATTAGTATTATTATTATTATTATATTATCTATATTTTTAGGTTCTGATTAATTAATATAATATATAATATATTATATTATTTAATCTATATTATTATATTATATATTTTATTATATATTTTAAATTAATATAATATATATATTATAATAATATAATTTCAATTATTATTAAAAATAATTTGTCAATTTTCCTGCAAATTTTCAATGACATTTTTACAGAAATTGCATACTTTGTGATAGAGCGTCACTTAAAAGCATACTTTTAAATATAAAAAATTGTTATATTTAATAGTTTAATAATATTAAAAAAAAAAAAAAAATAAGGAAAAATTAATATAAAAAAAGTATTCGTTGTAAATGAGTAATATACGTTTTTTATCCAATGATTTCAACGAACGATTCCAGTCAAAGTTTTCGAAGTAAGCATGAACGTGTAATGACGTAAGAAAATCGTAGAGTAAGAGGAGGAAATTGGTGGGGGGAGGGACAGTTGGATTGGTGGGAGTTGAATAAGGTAAGAGGTAAATGAAAGGAGAAGGAGACTGAAGAAAAAGAAGAAGGGGTATAGAAAACCAATAGGGAGAGAGAGAGAGAGAGAGAGAGAGAGAGAGAGAGAGAGAGAAAACAGAGAAAAATAAAGAGAAAGAAAGAGAGAGAGAGAGAGTAATTGCGAGTAGAGGGATTAGCCAAGGTGAATAGAACCACTGAAGGAAAAGCTCCGATGTTTAAAATCCTTGTATCGTTCACGAGAATGTTTCGGTGATTTAAAAATCGTGTTTTAAAATCGTAACCCATTTGAAAAATATCCGCTTCGTTTAAAAACAAATAAAACAAACAACTCACAAAAAAAAAACAAACACACAAATAAAAGAGAGCAAAAAAAGAAATTTAATAAAGAAATACCTAAAAACAAAATGGTATCTACGAATTAGGTTGATTGATAAATAAAAAATTACGCTTAATTGAATATTATTATTATTTTAATATATTTTTATATTATTATATTATTATAATATATTTTTATATTATATATTATATTATTATAATATAATTTTTATTATTAATATTATATAATTATATTATTTTAATATTTATATTATTGTTTATAATATAATTTTTTTATTATATATTATTGAATAATATTCAATATAAAAATATAAATATAAAAATAATGAAAATATTATATACTTGACTATAAAAATTAATATTAATAAATTTTTTTTATATCAAAATTAAAATGAATACGAATAAGGTTTGATTGATAAATAAAAAATAACATTTGACTAAATATAAAATTGAATTTATTATTAATACAAATATATAATAAATTTAAAAACTATATC